GACTGTACGTACATAAAAGTTGCCTCACTTAGTACCTCAAAATCTGAGAAACTCAACTTTGAGATTTGTTGGAAATCTAAAAACTCTTTTTATTTGTCTGCTGGTTGTTTCTGTAGGCTTTGCCTCCAAGAGGTATCTATGTTTTTGCCTCCCAGCTGCACACCCACCTGGCTGGCCGTGGGGTCAGAACAGTTTTAGTGAGGGGAGGGAAAGAGCTGGAAGTGGTACAGGAAGACCAGCACTTCAGTACACACTACCAGGTGAAAGAAAGGACATCTCTATCCACGTTAATGCTATAACGTTACACATATACTGTATTTATTTTCTAATGCAAAAAGATTGGAAGATTAATTAAAAAAAATCACACTTTAAAAAATCATACTTGAGAAGCAAATTTCAAGAGGACAATCAAGCTCTTTTTTCTATGTGAAAACTTTTTATCTTGTTTCATAAATATGATAATTTATAATTTACAAATTAACAGTAAAAATGTATCAGAAGTTAAGAAGAGAGAAGTGTCCAAGTTCCAACCAGAAAGTGTTATGTGGGCAAACGAGGTGCCACAGCACAGCTTTTCTACATTATTATTCTAACAAATAAGAAAAGCTTAAAGATTTCTTCATCATGTCGTCATTTAACCGCTTCATCTCTCAGAGAACTGAAACAAAACAGAATGGAGTCTATCACTCATTTTCTAATAAACTATTGTAATGATGACTTGTTTCATTAAAAAAATTACAATATAAATAAAATAGTTTAACACATAAAATTAATACAATATATATTTTACTATACCTGCATTGAAAAACATTTTTAAGCAATCATTTATGGATGTTACAAACTGCTACTGTGCTAACTTCCTGCGGCAGCTGGCTGTGCTAGAGTGCCAATGCGATTGTGTGCAAAAATCTGCTTCAGAGGAGACAGCTGCTATTTTAAAATTCCTGATTCAGAATAACAATAACAATGAGAAAATGCTTTTTTTCTTGAACAAAACCACAAATTTATCAACCAACAGCTTGAGCTAGTTTGAAAATGCTGCCAAACATCCTGTTGCAGCCAGCTGTGCTACAAAGCTAATGACATCTTGTTTATAAACATAAATACCAATAAGACACAGGTGGCACTTTTTTCTATTTCTGAGCGTTAACTCGAGTATCAGCTAGTATTTCCACATTTTTACTTTTTTGGGTGGGTTTAATGTGACCATTTCTTCATCCACCAAAAGGGGGCGCTACAGTTACAACATCCTCCCACTTGCAGCAAAGATGCAACAACCTTATCTGTCAGCTCTGAACTGAGAAACAGCGACATTAATATGCTGAGCTACAGCCCAGAAACTTGCTTTTTGCATGTTACATATCTCACCTGTTATGTGATAAAATCTCAATATGATTTAATGTGAGACTCATCTAAATGTTTGTTGAGTGGCGTTAACTCAGAACCTGAGGCCTCATTAGACATATGAGGGCTTTTGTCACACTATTCTTCATCAAGTTAACATATTTTCTAAAATTTGTCAGTATAAAAAGTCACGGGGAGAGAAACTCCTCTTCTCTGTAATTAAAGTGTTTGTACAGAAAGATGCAAAAATACTACACTGAAATGTATGGTTAACTCAGAAGAACAATAAAAGCATTGCTGATCATATCCAAGCTGATGTTTAATGTGAAGCACAATTGATATTTAAGACATGCATCCTTTTGTTCAGCTGAATTTGCTTTCTTCTTCCATGTAGACAATCCGAGTTCTGAGGAAAATGGTCAATATTTTACCAGTAAGTATAACATTTTGTGGATTTGTGAAAAAAAAAAACAATCTATCATCTATCTATTTATTGTGCACTCAACTGCTTTTTTTTATTTATTTCATTCTTAAGAATAGCAATTTACAACTCATCTGTTTCAAGTTTATTTATATTTTCTTCCCCTATGCTCGCACAGCAGTGTATTATATTCCTACCACTGTGTGAAGCATTTCAATTGAATGTAAATAAAAGGAGGCTGTAAGATCTAAGATGTGATGGGAAATTCCCAGAAAACTGACCAAAGAATATCTCTGATCCACAAAACGCATTTCTTTTTTTACGCCAAACTGGCTGCTGATATTTCTTGTGTAATTATTGTCCTATCCTGCAGGGCGATGTCCTTATTACGAAGTGTACTTACAACACAGAGGACAGGAGCAAGCCTACAGTGGTGCGAAGTTTCAGTCTTAAAACGAAAGCTTGTTTTAGCACCGTAACCCTTAGTTCCCGCTCTGATGCCCCTCACACTCATTATTTTGTTCTGCTCTTATCTGCACAGGGAGGTTTTGGCATCATGGAGGAAATGTGCGTCAATTATATTCATTACTACCCTCGGACTCAACTGGAGCTGTGCAAGAGCCACGTTGACCCAGAGTACCTGCAGAGATATTTTAGCTTCATCAACAGGTACTGCTCTGCTGTTTTTAGTAAGAAACATAAAAATACTGCAATAATTTTGACAATAGATTTCAAGGAGTACTTAATTATTAATATTAAATATTAAATTGACTAAGATGGGTCAATGATTAGCAGTAATAATGAAAACGAGGAGACCCGGCGTCAAATATACCTTTAAAAGGTCAGGAGCTGCATTTTTCCATTGTTTGAATCTGAAAAAAAACAACAACAAAAAATCTAAAATGCATCACACACACAAAGGACCAAAACACACAATCAAAAGCAAGGCAAAAAAATAATTATTAAATGTAAAATTTTGCAGTAGTTCTTGTTAAGATTGGTTAAAACATGGACCTTGTTGGTCTGATAGCTATTCTGGCAAATTTAAACCACAATGGCAGAAAATGTCCCTGAGATCTGTGAAGAATTAGAGAAACTAATGGGGATTTTATTCCCCTTCAAACCCAATTCACTGTTATCCTCTAAAAGCAAAGTTAAGTGTTTTAAAATACCTCATCTCCTTCTTTTGTGGACTTTTTACCATCTCTCCCACTCTTCCCATCAAGGTTCCATGGAAATGACCAGTGTGTGTGTGGCGATTTCGGTGTGACAGATCAGTACGCTCAGCTGCACTGGGATGACTTTGCCGGAGAAGTGCTGGACTCTCTTTATAACACAGCCCCCATCTCCATGCACTGCAATCAGTCCACTGCACGCCTCTTTCCCGTGAGTCCCTCATTCATCAAATACACACATATTTACAAGCTACAATGGACTGGCAAGCTACCAATTTAGCCAAATCAATGTGGATATCATTTCTGCAGAAGAGTCAGACTCAGACTGCTTTAGTAAAATAAACCCACACAAACATCCAAGATGTTGGGATGAGAGTGAGTAAATTGATTACAAATGTCATGATGACCTTAATCATGATTTCTAGACAGAAATGTCACTTCCTCAGAACAATAGAGTTAGGAATTTGGGCTTTTACAAACAGGAGTCAAATTTAAAACCAATTTATTAAAAAAAAAAAAAATTAATGTCATTCTACAGCTTAGTGACATGGAGCTAAGAGAGCTTTATTAAAATATGTGGTTGGAAGAGAAATGGTAACAAAGGGAATATATCAGGTAAAATATAATAACTAAAACACCATGCCTCGTGGAAAATCCATTAAAGCCAGACCTTATCACTTTAAAAGACCTTTAATGTCGAGCCCAGCCTGTGGTCTTTTTTCACACTGACATATTTATAAACTAATGGAAGGCAAAAGAGCTCAAGATAAAAATGTATAAGAAAAAAAAAACTCTAAGTCAGTGTTTATGCTTGCAGTCATTCTCACTGTTCTTGAGTGATTTTTTTTTTAATACAATATGTTTGTTCATGCTAAGAAAGCTTTGTAAGTTGCTGGAATTATTCTAACAAACAACCGGAGGCTGAATGGCTCAAAGCTTTGCACACAACAATGTGCTGCTTCAGCATGTTGGCATGAATCCTTAAGATTTTTCACTTAAAACCTTTCAGATTATCAAGCAAACTTTAAATTTAGAGAAAGACAACCGTTGTCAAACTAGAAGTGACTCAAGTAAAATGTCTCAAGCATATTAATGAATAAGTGCTTGATTTATATAACCTGAAAAAGAAAATCAAGTTTTACTAACAGTGACATAACAGGAGAGGTAGTTTTATGTTAACTGGTTTTGCCTAAATTCTATTTTCTGAATTGTATTGTTTTGTGATCATTTAATTTTGTTCCCATCACGTCTTCCTTCGAAGACATTTACACATTTATTGTACTTAGCAATTATGTTTACTATAAATGTTTGTGCTAAAATGTGATCAAGACTGCAAAGTTGTGTGTATTATAGAAAGAAGCCTAACAAAGATCAACGAAGACATATGGATAATCTGGACATTTCTTGAAAAGAAACAGAAGAACATGCCTTAAAATAAAACAATTGCTTGTAACATATTCATTTTTCTTCCAGGGCGAGTGGGAAAAACAGCCCCTTCCAGACGTGACCTCCATCCTACCGAAACATCGCTACCCCTGTGAAGGCGGTGCAGAGTCCTACAGCTGAGCAGAAACATCTGGAGTAGTTTGAGGACAGGGAGCGGTCAGCGGACTGACAGGAGATTAAAGAGGATTATTAAATGTGACTTAGTTTGAATTTTGTTTCATCTCGACATTAGCTGATAAATAGCATCCACTGCTTACTGTAATTATATGTCTGTGCAAACACCCACCAGCTGTGTTTATTATTAGTGCATACTAATTAAGCTAATAGCAGTGTTATTCATGTGTTACATCTAATGAAAATGACAGATATATTTTACATCACAAGTCTGTCAATATAAAAATAAAAAACATAAAAGCTATCCACAAATGAACAGAAAAAGTTTGTTCCATTTCTCACGATTCTGTTAAAGAATGGTATTTGCCGTATAGTTTAATGTAAAGCGGTTAAATAAATATTCTATATTACAGTAAAATGTTGGATTACCTTCCGGTCTATGCCGTATTTGTTTGTTCCTATGTAGGTTTTGTATGTGAAAAGAAAAACACACAAAGCGCTTTAGGTAAAATCACATTTTATTAATAAAGAAATTCTCTTCAGCATAAGTAACAAGTCTAGATCAACATTAATAACTTCTTTGCATGTCTCATTCATTATTTAAGGTCAGCAATGACTTTAAATAACAATTAATTAGTGAACATTTTGTGCTTGATGTGCAGCGGCAATCATCACTGAGTTATACTAGAGTGATGCCAAACAACTTATAAACACATCCGGTGACTAAAGAACACCTTTTGCTTCAAAGGTTCAGTTACAGAGTAAATAATTTATTACATGAATAGCATTACTACTAAAAATTTTACTCCATACTCATGTTAACAATATGGCTATTTGCTACTTCCTGTAGATTCCTGTCTGGCAAAAATAATCTTAATTATGAGGAAATGAAAATGATAGATCTAATTTCACTGACCAACCAAGAATTGACCTTATAAAGGTAAGGAAACAGACGGATTATCAAGAAAGCCTCTGCGAATAAACAAGAAAAGAACTGAGATTGAAGGTGACGATGACAGATGTTGCTAGAATGAATGACAACAATTGGGAACGGAAACCAAATGGAGTTATCGCAATGACCCACTGCGATCTTGCAAAACTTTTGCTGCTTCAGTGTCACGGAAGTTGTGTTTTTATTATGCTAACCTGAAACTTCAACCCTAGAATTCAATGACCCTGAACCCTCAACCAGAGAAGCTTCAATCACGATTAAAACTTGGCATTGAATATTAGTCTCCAATTATCTTGCTCTTTGAAATTGAATTAACATCTAAATTATAGCGATTAGTTTAACAACCTAAGCTGACGGCGCTCAGAGCAGCAGCCTCCATTCTTTTAAGTTTAAAATCTCTTAATGATGCACATCCCTTAAGGGTTATGGTTGTTTTTGTTTCTGTCTTGAAACATAAAACCATAACAGAAATAGATTAAAACCTTGAAATATTTTCTCTTCTGTCCTTTCACAAAGCTCCATTTCAAAGGATCAGAGTAACTTCAAAAACTGAAAGCTTCCATATTGCAGCCATTTTCTTATGTAAAATTTGGTTTGTGATTTGACGGAGACTATATAGAAGTCTGATTCTCAGACTTACCAGGGACAAATTCCTACTGCAAACATACAACTTAAGACACAGTGATTTTAGGAGATTTGATGTTTAGAAATGGTTGAAAAAGTTTTTGTTTTTTTTAAAGTGCACTATTTATTTTTTTAAAGTTTGTTTTTTTTTTTTACAAGTTTTTTACTTGTAGAAAAAGAGCAGCGCTCACAGCCTGTAAGTACTTTTTTAAAAACCGAATGGAGCAAAAAGAGCCTTCATGGAATATTGTGACCTCTGTTGCATCAATATTAAAAAATATTCATGATAAAAAGTTGACCTCATAAAAAGCATAACTGTATTTCAGTCCTTTGGGCAGGAAGCGCCCAAAGGACAGTTATAAAACTTTGAAGCAAGAAGCAGGAAGTCACTCACAGTCAGTTTGCTAGATTACTGAATATTTTACCCTTCAGGACGAAGCCTTGATCTCTGGTTGCTGAGAGCAACAAAGCTGTTTTTCTTTTTTCCAAAAAATATGAATAATTCAAGCCAAATTACATTAAATACTCAATTACCTGGGAAGCTGCAGCATTTGATTTACTTTGAGTGAAAACACACACGTACAATCTCTTTTCCAAGCCCTTTTAGGACTTCTTTGGTTCAGGATACTCTCAGTGCTTCACATAAAAATTTACAACACAGACACACGTCAATGGTCCTGATAATAAATTCTGTTCAACAACTCAGTGCAAAGTGAGCTGCTGCAGGAAGTAAGACTTTCAAAGTTAAAACGGGAGTCTTTAAAGTAAATCTGCACTTGATAATTTCCCCTAATGGACTGCAAGTTTGGGAAAAAAAAAGAAAAAAATGTATCTGAGTGAGTTATGGTTGCTTGCTCAAAGGACAGTGGAGTTTATTTTGTTCTGAAAACATTTTGTCGTGATAAAGTCTTGAACTGGTGGCAATTTTATGGTAATAATTGTATAAGAGCACACGTCGAGGAACGGTGTGCTCTTATACGATTGATTTTGAACATTTAAATCGTTTAAGAATGAGCAAATATTCAATCTCCTTAAATGTCACTTTATCACTTCACATTTGAGGTATACAATTGTAGTGGCAACTGAATGTGGAAAAGCAGCAGGTTGCATATTATTCTCTAACCACAGAGTCATTCGTAGATTCCTTTAACCCGTTTATTTTCAGGGTCGAACGGAGATTTGAGGTGTGCCTTGGCCTTGTATGCCACTCCCATCCTTTCGAGCGTGAACTCGCCGCTTTTAATGAAATCGGCACTGACCTAGTGACGGAAAATAAAAATAAAAACATGTAAAGGGCTTGAGGAAAGCAGAAATGAAAGAGGGATTTCAAAGGATTCGCAGCAAACAGAAACGAGCAGCTTGGAAGTTCTGAACGCAGAAAGCAATTAAACCCTTTGTGACTCGGCTGTCGGTTCCCCAGAAACACAGAAAGCTCATTTTCACTGACCAGCTCACATTTCCCTCTCGGCAGCCCTCCCTTCTGATCTTCCACTCTGTCTCTCAGTCATTTACACAGTGAAACTAACACAGCTGGCTGTCTATTGCTTGAAACCTCTGAGTAACGTCAGGTTTTTATATAGAAACCTTAAATATCACTTGCCTGCAGCAAAGAAAATACCAACGCTTCATTGAAACATAAAGATTTAACGAGTAGCAAATGCATTGTAGCCCTTTGGAGAATATTTTTTACTTGTCAGTTGGGTCAGATATGTTGTTATCCAGCAAAATTTATTTAAGAAAATACTTAGGATAATAAATATTTAATATAACGATTTAGATTTCAAGAAACATTCTTGTATAAAACAGTGATAAAAGGATTTCTACAAGGTTTCCACATTCATGGTTTATCAATAATTACAACCTTGCTGAGATATTCAGCTTTATTCACTTCTCATTTAGTTCAGTTGAACTGACTGTTGTCCCACATATTTTAAGTTTTTCTTTCGAACAATCTGCTTTCTGTCCAAGAGAGATAAAAGAAATAATATGAAACTATGGAAGCAAGAGCAATCCCAGAAACCAAGACTGGATAAGTCCAGCAGACCTAAATAAAAGGGGAACACAATGTGTAACAAACTCACCAGTCCTCCATCAGGGTTGTGGACGTATCCATAACCAAGAGTTTTGTCTATGAAAAAGCCGTAGTCGGCTCGTCGGAGGTGACCAACAGGGACGCCGTTACGGAATATGGCCTCAAGACCGAACATTGGTATTTTTCTGGTGTAAAAGATAAAAGAAAAAAAAACAAAAAAAACAATGGTGTTGGTGCAACCAAAGATACTAAAGAAAAGTTGAAAATCTGTGTAAAGGAGTAATAACTTCATTTTAGGTTCATGCTTTTCTAACTGAGACTTACCAATTTTTGTGCTTCTTTTCTTTTTTTTAAAAAATGGCACAAAAAAAATTATTATCAATCTAAGGAAGATATTTCTACAGATGCAAGCTCTGACTGCGGATGGATGATCAAATAAAGTAGAGCGATAAAAATAAATTTTTATGCCCGACATAAAATACTACAATGAAATCTGTAGAATGAATTTCCCATCACTTTCATGTCTGCATACAAATTTTAAGCAAGTATTAAAAAAACAACAACAAAAAACTAAACTTTTCTTCCTATTTTGCTGAAGGCTTAATTGCTGCCTTCAGACAGAGGATCTACTGACTCATCGATGGTGAAACAGACGATACGCCTCCTCAGTCCCTCTGCCTTCTGTCTCTCTAGCGTTTCCCGGCCCTGGAACGGGATGGAGCTCTTCAGTTTGCAGGTGAAAGCAAGCCCCGCCTCCAAAGGTGTGTCATCAGGCCGAAGGTCAGCGTGCCAGTGTCTGTACCCTGAAGAAATTTGAAGAAACCGTGAACATGGACTGAAGAGCATCAACACCTCGCCTCCTAAAACCGACTTTGTAGCGAAACAAATGGTGAGAGAAAATCATTATTTCAGCTGAATTTCAATAGGTTAAAATTGTTTACGTTACCCTTCTCTATGCTGAGAGAGTCGATTGCTCTGTAGCCTGAATTGATGATGCCATGCTTTGCACCGGCGGCCATGACAGCTTGGTAGACGGGTACACATGAGTCTTTGGGAATGTGGAGCTCCCAGCCGAGCTCTCCGACAAATGACAGACGCATTGCTCGCACCTGGATGACAGACCGCATGGAAAAGAGGGTTACAGAGGAGGAGGAGGTATTTGTGTGGAGAATCAAGCTGCTCATTTGCATATCTAGTTGAAAAAATAAAAAAAAGAAGCAAAAACACAGAAAAAGAAATGAATGAGAGTCGGGGAAGAGGGTAGGAAAATTTTTGCAAAAATACTGACAGGAGAAGATGGCACACTCCACATGAACAGGAAAGGAAATGAGGAAGGGGACAAAAAAAAAAAATGAGGAAAGGAAACTTCTCCAACAGTTCTCGCAGTTGGTGCAATGACAGAAAGTCCATCTGTCCAGTCAGGGATCACTGCAGGCTCCATATGCACATCTCCAAGCTCAGCGAAGGTTAGTACATTGAGCATATGACCCTAACGCACACCAGATGCATGCATGCCTCACACTGCACTCATGTACCAAGCAGCAAAAAACAAACATACAGACAGAAGCACGACATGAAATTATACGGATAAATGTGTAGGCTTGCGCACCCGCTGCCGATGACAAGTTAGAAAAACAGAAACAGACAGAGAGAGAGAGTCTAATGAGCTGTGAGGGGATGCAGAGGGGCAGGAAGAGCTCTGCTCACACAAACAGCACTGCAACCATTAAACTGTCACCGATACAAGGCCAACAACCAGCTGGAAAACAACACAAGCGCCTCGCTCGGCACACATCCACACACTCCTGCAGCGACGTACGAAGATGCAGATCGCAATCACCAGGACCTCGCATAATTTATGCAAGAGAAAGTAAGACAGACTGAGGGTGAGTGAACATATGTGACGCTGCATGAGTCTGTAATGAGTGCAATGCTCTCTCCTTTTAATCAGGAGGTCAGAAATCACAGGTTAAATCATAAATACATTACAGAATTATTACACAAGTATGCAATAGACTGAACTGAAGCAGTTTAATTTAAAACAGAAAGCAGCAATCGTCCCTGCTAAAATTGTGCAACAGGAATTACTACTATACATTACATTATCTATATTTTGTCTTTTTTATTTTGATGCAGACTTAACCAAAATCATAAGAGCATATTTTTAAAACACATTAAGCCTTAGCAGTAACTTACCAATGTCTAGTATACAACTTTGTGCAGGGATAAAACTTTAGCAATTTGATTATAAACTACTGTAAACGTCCCATTTAATTAAACAAGCGTTTCCAGTTCATATGTGTACTGATTTGACATGTTAGTAAGAAATATAATTTATTCTCCCGCAACACAAATAATAAAGAATGTCTACTTAGCAAATCTCAAAAGTAATAAACTTGTACTCAATACTATGTGACTGGTATCTATGACTGAGTGTGACTCTTTGCATTTCACCTGATATCCTGCTGCGTTCACAAGCTTATGGGTGGAGAAGGGAAACGCTTCGTTGCTGAGATCTGCATCCAAAACATCTTGCAATACTTCTCGACTATTAAGGCAGAAAAAATACAGAGTCACAAACTATGTTAGTCATTCAACCAATTTTTGACCAAATTAGATGTGCTAAGTGTATGCAAACCATGGCTTGTGTGTCTTTTTCATTCTCAATGTAAAAAACTGCTGGATTGAGTAAACAAAAGAGAATTACATTGAAATCAGCTTGTAAGATGAATTGGTGACCATTTGGTCACCTCCCTGACTGGTGACTAGTCAGCTAGAAATGAGAAAATCCAATCTGTTTCTAATAGTTTAACACACAATTTCAAAGCACCGTCGTTTCGCAATCGTTGCTGATGGGTGAAGTTAGTTATTTCCACATTTAGTTCAGTTTTTAAAGACAAAAGCAAGAGAAAAAACATGACATAAGAATCTATTTAAAAGGAATCCTCATTTTCAAAACACATCTGTGGTTCATTCAGGCTGCAAGAAAGAGGACAGTGATATTTTCAGCAAATAACAGAAACGCTAAAGTAGAGCAGAGTTACACCATTCAAATTCTTAAACTTTTCGAACTCAGTTAGTTTTGGCACATGCACCTTCTTAGGTCAAAATGGAGCCATGTTATGAAATATTTTTCTTCTTCCACTCTTCTTTGTGTTATTCACTTCTGCCCCTCACTGTTTGTGACTGATAAGAAAAAAAAAAAACAATAGGTGCAAATTGGTTCATATCTGCAAATATTCTGTGCTACATGAGTAATAAAGTTGGTGTAAAATTAAAAACAGGATGTGCAAAACAATTGTAAAGAAAAATTGCAATACGCTGTAAATTCTAAGCTGCAAGTTTATTATGAAAGAAAAAGTTATCATTTGATTTGTAGGTCAATAAAATGTCTCAAACGGGAAACACTGGACTTATGAGAAAATACGCAATCTTTCCTCCTGAAAACCACACTGCGATCAATATTACATAATGATGAGTCAACACAAAATGATAAATATTTTTATTTTGCACTCTTCGCCTCATCTGCTTATGAGTGGGAAAACAGAGAAAGCAGCTTTTTGAGGATATTTTTCGCCGTGGTGTGGCAGGAAGCCAGGCGTGTGGATATTTGTGGAATGACTGAGGTTATGCTTCTGCAGCTTTGTGCAGGTCCCTTCTTCTAGAAAGCAGGTGATGTAACAGATATAGAAAGATGTGGGCATGGACAAATATAAAGCTTTATTCTTGAGCTAAAATGGGCTGATGTTTACCTCAAACTGTGCTCGAGTCTGCTCAAACTTTCTCAAGAGAATTAAAGAGCCAAGAAGCAAAGTGGTTTATTTCTTTGTTTTGCCATTTAACATTGACTTCTCAGCTGTGCATATACGGGATGTTTCATAATTTTATCAATTGCATATACTGTTAATAATTACCTAAACAAGCGGCTGAGTATTAGTTTCACACTTTGAAACATGGTGCCAACCTCAGAGAAAGAAAATCAGAGACTCCTCTCACTGGGGAACTTAAGTGAGACGTCATCGGGAGAGAAAACCACAACACATCTCTGTAAACACTGTTAACACATCTTCCTGCTCCTCAAGTTTTACTGGGATCAATTTGCTTCATCGGGGAGCAAAAACATGACAGAGGAAGAGTAATTTTCTGAAATTCCTCAAACAAGAAAGGCATAAATATGGTACTGTGGAGAGGCAGAGAGAGACAAATCAAACTGCAATTCTGTAGACACAGTGAAAAACAAAAATCCACAAACAAATGAAGCAACGTGTTGTTGCTAGACTGCAGTCGGGATTGAAATAATTATTCCTGGCTTGACGTAAGCAGATCAGTGAGGAAAACCATGAAATCAGGGGCAAGGTGACTCACAATAGGTCAACCAAGCAGGAAGCAATGAACAGTGAGAGAAGACAAACGAGGAGATCTATTCGATCACCGCAGAGGCAGAAAAAAAGGAACTGAGGAGAACAGATGGACAAAAAAAAGGCCTCCAGGAAAAGATATCGACAAATCCCACACAGAGAACAGGGGTGGACGGACCCTGCAGCTCCGTGAGCAGGAAGAAGAAAGGCAGAGGGCAGAAAAGTGGGGAGGAGAGGCGAGAGAGAAGGAAAAGATAGACTGAAGAAGAAGTAAAGTTGGCCTGGCTTGCTCTGTGAGTAAAAGAAGAAAGAAATCAGCATACACCTGGGCTGCCGTTTATTCACAGCATTATTTTTTTTTCAACCTGAGCGAGTCACCAACCCAAGGTTATGGCTTCGGAAAACCTCAGAGACAGTTCTACACGTGCAACATTATTCTATCTGATGAAAACACATTTTCAATGGAGGAGATGCTCACAATGAGTGAAAAATCCAACAAAAATAGAAAGAAGGAAGAGAGTAACAAAAAACTGAAAACAAGCCTTTAAGAACGCCTGACATGTCCTGGACTTGGAAGGTTTCATCGAGTAAATAAAAAGTGATCAGTTTCTGGACATTCATCATGATGAATGGTGAATATGAGAACATTTTTTTTAAAATACATTAATATTTTATTAAATCTTTAATTTAATTACGTAATTCTAAATTAAATATTTATAAAAATTATCCTCTGCAATTTTGTATATATTTATTTTACAAAAGTAACTGGTGCCAGAGTTATTGGTACTCTGAATAATTCATAGAAAATGAATTTAACTGAGGTGCTTTTGCCCCGTGATGCACTGGCAGCCTGCCTGGAGTCGGGCGTCAGACCCTCCCATCCCGTCGTTTCACAAAATTACCCTGATCAGAATGTTTTGCTGGCATGTCGAGCAGTGGATTAGTTCCTCCTTTGCACTCCATTACTAAATGCTGAACGTTTCCTTCTGTGCTGTAGCTTTTTGAGATTGAGATCAAGCAACTGACTCTCGCCTCACGACAGACGTTTTGTTGTTTTAGATTACTGTCCATCTGTAATGTAAAATCCTGGTCCAATCATCTTTTCTGCATCTCACCTACTCTGACAAGCTCTTAATAAAAAAATTGTGCCTCTGTGATGTTCAGCCATCTTTACTGTTCAATGACCAAATCATAAATTTGACCTACATTATGATTTCCCCATTCTCTTAAGTAGGAATAAATTCTGACTATTCCACCTTCTTTCCTTGTCCCACCTCTTAGGCCCCTGAATGCTGATCATCCCCATGTCTTCGGAGTGGTCTGTCAGCTGGCAGTGGAAGCCTTGGTCCTGAATAACGGTCCTAATGTGGTTCCAGTTGTGTTCGGCGACACCGCCTCCAATGGCAAGGTAGTATGCATCACCTGGAGCAAGAGAGGCCAGTAATTTGAGAAAATTAGGCATAGTTACCCAGCAGAAAAATCTAACATGACTTCTCATCATATGCCGTATCAGGATAACAAATAACATCTTAAATGATGTAAGAATGCAGATGTAATCACATCAAACTGTTTAACTTCACTTTTTTCATTCCTTTATCTTCATGCTGTTAGAATAAATGGAGGTATCTTAGAAAATAATTCTACAGGCATTTGTGTGAAGATATTCACCTATGATTGCAATAAATATTAATTCTACCCATGTTCTCTCTTCCCTCACATCTCTTCACCAGGTTTTGTTTCCGACTCAGTTCTTTGTTTTGGGTTTTCAGGTGAAGGTCATTGAAACGAGGATGGCAGTTTGTTTCTCACCGTCTGATTGCGGTGCCAGTGGCAGCTTGGCAGCGCCCGGCTCCAGCCTGCTCACCGTCAGGTCGGCCTCCGTCCCTCCTCTTTTATTCAACATACACGTATATACAGTGGAGCCTGAAACATGCAAACACCTGTCAGTGAATACTTATTTACAGTGCTTTGCAACAGCATTCATGCCTATTAATCTCACCTGGTCAATATTAACCTCAATGCATTTTATTGGGATTTACAGTGATAGAGCAAAACAAAATATTGCATAACTATTAAGTACAAGACTAAAATGAGTAGTGTCAGTTTGCATTTAGCCTCGTCAGCCAGGTTAGTCCTGGAAGAAAAAAAAAATCCTCCCCTATTGCTATTGCAAGAAATCATACATCAAAATTTGTGGCAAAATGTGAAAACCATTCGATGAGTATGAAGAATTATGAAATATTTATTTCCCCTCAAAATCACCCCAAATCCATGGTTTATTTTCTCTTCTAAGAGTAACACACTATAAATAACTCCTCAGTGGGATGTTCTCTCTAGTCTAGAGTCTATGTATGACCAAAACATTTTTGTTTTATTCTTACAGCCCACCACTTGACAGGAAACAAGCTCAGTAACAGCCAGATGACTCTAATCTGTATCAAAGCATCGGTGGCATATTTTTTTGCAAAGACATTTGTCATAAAGACATCATCAAGAAAACCTCCAAAATCAAATAAATCTGTAACTAATTACATTTATGATGCGTCATCCATTTGCCAAAACAGTTAATGTTTGCAGACACGGTTAAATACGTGTTGATGCCTTCATCAGCTGTTATTTTAAAGAGTGATTATCTGTGTCAGTGTTGTTAACAAATACAAATGTGTTCAAGAAGGACTATTTAACAAGGTTTGGAGGGAGATGTAGTGTAATTGCCTCCGAGATAAAAATATCAGAGGTATGAAATATTGGATTTAAAGGGAACTTGCAGGATTGTCTTGCGTAGACAGATGCAGATCCACACTGCTGCAACCTGTACACTGCTGCAACCACGTACAAACTAACCAAGCTGGAAAAAAAAAACTGTAATTTTTTGCATAATTTGCATCCTTAATCTATGTGCAAACTTTATTTCAAGTTAGAAAAACCAAGACTTGCACAAATACAAACAGTTGATGCATAATCCAAGCTCTAGCCTTAAAGGTCCGGTGTCTTACATGTTTTAGTTGTGTCCCAGAACCAACACACCTGAATGAAAGGGCTGAATCGCTCCCAAAGCATGTCATCAAATTCTGCTGAGGCCTTGTCATGAATCATTCATTTCATTCAGGTACGCAGTGTGGGTGTGCATGTGTTTGCAGGGAGACATGTGTGCTTCTTCAGACAGTTGCCCGACTAACCTGGCTTCTTGTTGACATCAGCTGAGAAGAGCCAATCGGCTGCTTTCTTGGCATCTGGTCCGGTGAGATAGAACTTCCCAAAGTAGGACATGTTAAACACAGCGACGTCATGTCGGCATGAGAGACACTCACTCTTAATCTGCATTGAAAGCAGCAAAACTCAGCACACATGTCCAACACACTCGCTGAAGAATAATAAAAACACGCTGCCATCTTCTTATTTGGAAGAAGGCTTGATCGTTGTTGCATCAAAAAGAGCAGAATTCGTCACGGGAGTGAAGTTAAAAGCAAAAATCACAGATTTCACTCCCAGATTTCTCAATCTCAAAAAGCTATCAAGTTGCTAAATTAGCTTGGAGGGTTAAGGCTCTTTCTGGACCATTAAGCCCACTGCTGATACCCAACACCATTACTTGTTTATGACAGAAATTCATTCAGACTCTCAATTTTTCCACTCTGTAGACTGAAAAGTAAACATTCACACTCATCAGACTAACTTGTGTTTTGACAGAGGAAACAAGCCCTTGAACTTTGTCTGACTTTACACAAACACTTCTGCTCTCTGTAGCTTACCACATCGTGATGCGGAGGGAAGTCGAAGGTGTACTCTTTGCCGAGGAGTTCTTTGTATTTGTAGTTCTCATTGTTCCTAATGTTGTAAGCTCCATAGTAATCATAGTTTTTAGGCTTTTAACAAGACATGCAGACACAGTGTTAAAGTTTGGCAACGACAAGCAGTAAGTTTGTGGTCGTGTGTGTTTGTTGCAGGAGCCTCACAGGAGCCGGCCCATCTTTGTTGAACCAGCCAGGTCTCTCCCAACCATGCCTCTCTTGAAACATGCAGCCTTGCTCTGTCAGCACCTGGAGTGATGAAATCAATACAAAAACAAATCAAATCGCTGCAAAACATGCAGAGGGCACACAAAGCTGAGAATATTGTCAATCTGCTTGTCAGTATTTACTGAAAATACAAGTCAATGGTTAAAAAAACTAAATAGTGTTTATTTTGAAATAGTGAATTTTATGGGACATGTCAACACAAAGCAGAGAATAATTTCAAAGTGAAATGAAACCCTCTTTAATCAATTGCACAAAGTACAATCCAACTAAATACTCCGTCAGACTGGGTTGTTGAAAAGCAAGTTTTATTGACACACATTTCCAATTATATTTAGATCAGGACTTTGACTGGGCCACTAGCCCTGCTACAAACCTCTCCACAACATTCACCTGGGTCTTCATGCTCACTTCTATTCTCTAGTAAACCTCAGAGGCCCTCACAAAACAACTAACTGCACTCTATTTACTTTTTATATGACTTCTGAAGGAAATTATGTGCACAAAATTGATCAATATATCTCTTGCAATAGTATGATAACTGATCAGGACCAATGTTAGGGAGTTAGAGCTGCTGCAACAGCATGTTATTCATTGAGTCTATTGATCTGTCTGCATCAACAAGCTAATGAAACAAAAGACCAGTTCATCCACTTGATCCAACACAAATGTAGACATAATGATTACTGCAGACAGTTGCTGACATGTGTTGCATTTAGAAGAGATAATGAAGTTTCTGCACTAATGGAGGAATTGATAAAAACATGTTGCACCATGTTTGTTTATGTCAAGTGGCTGCAGAAACAGAAGAAAAACACTTCCTAATTCTTGAACACTGTTCAGGTAAGATATTTTGAGGCTCTCCATCCTCTTTGCTAAAACTGACAGTCGCCCACAGTCGGTAGGTATGTTGTGCTATACTCTCCCCCGAGCAGGCATCAAGCTGTCTGTCTTTTGCCAAAACGTCCCACACTAAGCTATATTTACCATCTGTGCTACCGAGGTGGAGAAAGCGTGCGAGCAGCAGTGTCAGAGATGACTTGCTGAAGGTCTGAAATAGCCACATATTGCCTCCTATAAGTAGAAAGTCTCATTATTTGCACAGAGACAGCTTGCCTGCCTGGTCATACCTGAAAGCACACCTTCAAGCTATAGCGCATTACAACATTGTGTCATTTCAGATTTGAAAACTGGATACAAGTGTTCCTATTAAGGCACGTTATGCCGTCTTCAAAAATCTAAGTTGTCAAGTATAGAATGTAAGGGTTAGAATTTCAATTTTTTTTTTTTTTTACGTAGCTCAGTTTTAATTCTGTATGTAGTCAAAAGACTGAATTAAATAATTCCTCCATCACTCCTTTAGTCCTCATTTTTTGTTTTCATTATGCACAATTGTTTAACAAATCTCTGCAGAAAGCTTTACGTACGCCTCTAAAGTGTTATGGAAGCTAAATAAATCAATCTTGGGGCACAAATCAAACTTATGGGACCATAGCTTGTTCTAGAAAATTCATGCATGCAAGTACAAGGGTAATAGTACAACAATGAAAATCAAATAGGCTCTTGCACCAAAAAAAAGTATGTCTCTAAGTGATTCTTTAGTGTGTGAAGCACGGCGGTAAAGTCCATTAAGAGTTTGTGCTCGGCCAAGGAGAGAAACAAAGCTGAAAAACATCCACGGCTTAGCCACCAAAGCTGAGTGGATCATTTATAGTCATGCATTAGCAAATGCAGTCACTGCAGAGCTAAGCTGCACCGCTTATGGCATCACTTTGAATCAGCCACGAGATCAAGAGGAGGAAAAGAGAAGACTGAAGAAATGTGAGACAAACCCACTGACAGAGACAGTGTCGGTGCTTGACAAGCCAAAATTACAGACAAAAAAAGAGAAAGAGAGTTATGCAATCTATAAAAATAGTGGAAGTAATCGAACTTGACAGGAGATGCCCTAATGACTTGGAAGGGGTGAAATGATTGCTAACTGCAATATGACATTCCAGATAAGAAGTTTCACTAAACCAGGGAGGTGATAAGCTGAGCCAGCTTTTCATCACTGTCAGTCTCAGGCAAACTGGCAGCATAGGAAATAGCCTACAAAACCACTTGTCAATGCTTACTTTAAATCCAACCCAGATGTGCAACTTCGTAGTTAACTTTTTCATTTTCTTTCTCATAAAAGAGTATAATATGGAGCAAAAACTCAGCATAACTTTGAACCAAGCAAGACATCCTAACAGGAGTAAGACTGCTCATTAAAGTTATTTGTCAGTCGGTAAATGCTAATGAAACATGGTGAATAAATACCTCATGGAAAGGGTCCTTCCTCATGTTCCGGCTGGCCAGTGGCTCATCAAAGGGAAACACTACAGAATAGTTTTTTGCATATGACTCATGGCTCCTCTCCCTGATCCAGCGTGTGTTGTCTGTCAGCGAACTGTGAAAACGTCTGAGAAAGGAGGAAGAGGAATTTAATGCTCGGTAAAGAAGACACTCAGACTTCAATACAAGCTGTGGCTCCTGGTGCCATTTGATAAAATGCCATTCTTTTTAATGCTTGCCCATATACCTGATGTCATATCCATACATGTCCTTTTCTGGCCGGCCATGTATGATCCACTTAGCGAGCTCTCTGCCACATCCACCACCCAGCATCATACCTGACAGAAAAAGATAAAGAGGAAATGTTGGGAACATTGACATTTTATGTAAATTTATTCAATTTTGCTTATTTGATCTAACCTAACAGTCTTTAGGTGAAACTCGAACTGAAACCTATGTTTGATTTACAGTGCACTGGAGTAGTCAATGAAATGGGGGAGGGAAAAACAGCAAAAGCCATCAACACGTTTGGCTCTAAAGTACATCCACAACTCAAAGGCAAAACAAGAGAAAACCTTAACAAGAAGCCGAAGCTCTGTTCCCTTTTTCACCTGCCTGATGGTCCAACTTGTCAGAAAAACAGAGAGAAAGTCTCATTCATTTGAAAAAGAAAGAAAGCTATATTTTTCTTTGCCACAGCTGCTGTGTGACGTACAACTGAGCCACAGAGGACTGCATTAACCTTTATTCCAACGCTTGACCTCTGCTCAAAGCAGCCCCTGAGCAATCTGACCTCATCATCTATCCAACAGCTGCAGTGTTCTGTTTGTTTCCAGCCACTCACCAAACAAACGATGGCAGCCCAACGCTGTAATCCACCGAGTCCCAGAACTGCTGGGTTAATGAGCTGGGTCCCTTTAGCAACCCCCTGCTTGTGCTGTGTTGCCTGTAATTTGCATACGTTGCGAGCACCGCACAATGTGCTGCATGCACAACATTAACACGCAGCAGCATTGACAACAGAGTCCCTCCATCCCTCCATCTTTTCCCCGCATGTTCTCTTCCTCCATCTCTCATCACTTCACTCATCTGCAGCCAGGAGCTGTCAACTCTGAGCCTGGGAGGAAATCTGAACGGCTGGCAGGCCAGCTGGATGGAGGGATAGATGGATGGATTGAGAGATAAAAGGGAGGAGGGAGAGAGGAGAATGATGGAGTTCACCCCAAACAAAGTGGTGAGAACCAGGGAGGCGAGGTGTCACAGATAAATGTCACCTGAGATAACCACACTGACGCGTGAGTGTCTGCTTGTAAGCTCTTGTGCTTCTGCTTCCACTCATCCTGTCACACCAGAACTCTTTTTTTTTCTTCCCTTTTCTTTCCAGGGTACCTGTGTAAAATTGTTTCTCTTTCTGTGAGAATTTGTGATATTACATTTGCAAATAAAAAAAAATGCTTTTGGCTTCATAAATCCCATAAAAGACTGACCTTGTAACTTGACACAATTTTCCCTATATTGTGTTTCAGTTTACTGGTGGAGTTAGATTTATTTTAAGATTTTTTTTTTTACATGTGGATGACTTTTACATGTTTTTTTCATAAGGGAAACCCGATTACAGCTACAGCAATACCTAAAGATTTAAAAGAGGGGAAAATATGTCCATATAAATCTCAACTTCAAACCATTTCTAGATTTTAAACAAAACAATTTCAAGAGCTATTAACTGATTTTCTTTCTCCCTAAAGAGAACACTGACAAAGCCTTACCCAGACTTAAGGTTCAGCTTAATGGACAGAACCTGACAATAATGTGCTAAAAGGTCACAGTATTATGTAATATCTGACAACACTTTACTGGGGCCCACTCACAAATCAACTTTATTCCAACCCCCAATCTTTTGTCAGAACATCTCGTGTGCGTGACCCCGCAGCTCTCTGCAGAGAAAAAGCTTTCTTTCAATTGCCTATTAAAGCTCTTGCTGATTACTTCAGCCTTTACGCCTCCTCTCTGTCACACACTTCTTAGATACTGATATTTTTCCAGGGCTAATGTCAGAGGCTCAGTGCAGTAATGGAGTGATTTGTGCATGAACAAGACTGTGTATGTAGTCTATGAAGTCCTCTCTAATATTTATTTGTGCTTTAGCCATGTACACAGAGATATAAGTCCAGGTCAAAGATTGTTAAAAGCATCCAAACAATTCACCTTGTTTTTCCTGCTTACTCACTTACGCTCTAAAAAGTTTACTCAGCCTTTCATGCATCATTTCAGATTTCTCAAGGTAAAGGTCTGCATCAAGTATTTCAACAGTTAACTTTGAAACAGCTTTGAAAAATGCCTTTTCTTTATGTTTCTTTAAATTGACGCAGCACATACCAGCACTGTTGAAGCCACAGCCTAGGAAGTAACCTCGAACTTCTGGTGCTTCTCCCATCAGTGGCTTATGGTCAGCAGTGAAAGATTCTGATAAAAATCACAAAGTTGACATTAAATACTGTCTGTTTACATAGTCAAAATTCTGTGCTTCTTCACACCCAGAGTTTTCTGTCTATTGTAGCCTGTTTTATGAAGCATAAATTTAAAAGCGGACTATGAATTCATAGTAGATATTTCTCCAGTAGTATGGCTTAAATCATGCAATTATGGATGGACTGATGGACAGTTAGTTAAAGTGTAGACAGACATGGGACAGTAGGCATGGATGCAATGTTCACACATAAAATAAAATACAAAATCCTCTAAACCATCCAAAACCAGAGTAAGGGCCCATGTGCTGCATATTTTAGATGTTTCCCTGAGTCAACACACCGAAGTTATAAGAATGGTTCATTAACAGAACTCTGCAGACCAAGGTGATATGCTGAAGAAGTAATTCAGCCATTTTAATAAGGTGTATCTCATCAAGTACACATTGACAATCTGCAGCACATCGGCCCTTCAGGACTAGTGCTGGTAATCACTTTTTTAAATAAATCATTTTGTGCATGCCTTTTGTTTTATTCTAATGTTACTACTGTGATGTGAAGTTTTCTACTTTCCTTTTTTTTGGGTCAAATTATCAGGCCTCTGCTTAGAAGCTTAAAAAGGATGAATTAGGAACTTAACACCAATTGATCCTAATCTGTAATGAAAAGAATCCAACAGCTGCTAATGGTACACTCTATTACTTGCCTTGACAAATTTATTATGGCCTCTATAATGAGTCCATAATAAATCATTATGTGTGAGAGTGTGAGTTTGTACCTGGTCCACAGACAGTGGACTTGATCCCAGTCTGCTCCAGAACAGGAACTCTATTTATAGCTCCCTCGATATGTTGCATAAATACGTCCCAGTCCAGGTCAAACAGGCTGAAGGCAAACTTATCTGACACCTGGGAAATAAGGAAACATTGGGAAACTCCATAACAGCAAGCAAGTCAAAGATGAAAAATGGAAACAGAAAATTTGTTTTTTTTTGGGGGGTCCATTTTGTATTTTTTCTTGTACCAAATACGAACTCAAATAAATTTTAGCGAGCAAAGAAATGTGAAACCTCTCAATTTTTATATCCCCAAAACAATACTTTTGATTCTCTCTACTGCCTGAGACACCACCCAAACAGCACAGTGAAAAACGTTTCTCCTCAAGATGAATAATGATTCAATTTGGTGCAGAGTTCAAATTTCCCTCAACCAAGGCTGGGATCTATAACCTAAGTGAAGGTGCAACATGTTTTCAAAAGCACAGTTTTAAAATGTCTAAAATTCCATGTTGCACTGTTCCTATAATTCAAAGTCTTTTTAACGAGATGCCACAAATCAACCACAGCCTGGCTACCCAAGAAGAAAGTCCAACTGATTAGCAGCAATGATTAGCGTGTTAGAATCCCTGTCTTACTCACTAAAGAGCAGTTGAGCTTTGTCTTTTTGCTTCTCTCCAACTCACTCACTATAACCAGCACTAAACTTTTAATGCCTGTTTTGTAAGCAGTAATCACCTCACATCCAACATAGATTATGTCAATTTAGATAATCTAGAAGGAATTTAGTAAGCCTGCATTTTTTTCTGTGCAGCAGTTTTCAAACATACTTGGACTCCATTGGAGCATCTGGGGAGCAGCACAGCTTTCCAAGTCCCTCCCAACCCATTGGTCCTGCTTATCATCACGCTCTGCATCAATTCTCACTGTTTTCCCACTAATTCTCCTTTTCTGTATTGCCTCTTTTCTTCCTCCCCATCCATCTTAGACATCAAAGGAACCCTCAGCTACCAAACGAGAACAAAAGAAGCTGCCACCACACAAAGAAATCCTCTCTCACATAAAACCACAGAGGAATATGCAGACTGGCAGGCTGCAAAAATGGAAGAAACTGAGGAGGTCGAGCAAGAAGCAAGAAGATATCATCAAGGCCCTGAAAAAGAGATGTCTTTCTAATGTCTTTCATGTAATTGTGAATGTTACTGTTACAGGATTAAGTTGCTTTGAAAAACCAGAGATTTGTAGGGAGAGAGGGGCTAAGTCCAACATAAATGTACAAAAGACACACAACAACCCTTTTAACACCGCTTTGTTCCCTCTGATGTCACAGAACATATCCAATAAAGCAAAAACACTTCTTAGTTCATAGGTAAAACAAAAGCTAAACCCCTCTACATCTTGTCGAATCAGATTTTAGATTTCTCAACATGTTTTATTGAAATCAAATTTTTTAGAAGAAATACTTTGAAATAAATAATCCAATGAGGGCCAACTTTGATGCAAAAAGGCGAAGAGAGTGAACTTTTCTGGATGAATCAGAGAAAAAATCATTATAATCACACAAGTTTATTGATCTTTGGAAAATATGTTGTGCTCTTGTTAAAGACAGTTCTTGTGGACAACAGCCAAGTCCTATTTTACTTCCCACACTGAGTTAGCTTTTATTACAGGGAAAGCTAACTCAGCTTTCCCTGTAAAGCTTTCCCTGTGCCGTAGCAAGTGCCACACCAGCGTCTGTGCTGCTCGCTTCTCCTCTTAGGTCCACGCTTGTACATTTGATTTTTGATCAAGGCTTTTCCACTTGTGAAAATCAAATTTTGTCACGTTAGTACCAAAAATGGAAACTAATTAGAATCAGTTCCATGGTAAAAAACTTACAAACAAGATCCTATAGATAGCTTTAGTTTGTGTTGCTATGCAAACTGTTGTCTTATTTGGTAAAAAAATAAACTAAAATTAGAACTTGCTTCAGTTGTTCATATAAAAATTTTAATTTTTTTTTTGTTTCTTTAACCATTTCAAAATATAGATACTATAATTCACTATTAGTTTAAAATATGGCTAAACAATCCCTATACGTAATACTCAAATCGCAATAAACTTCCAAGACTGCATCACAAATTAGCCAATTATTTTGTAGCCACATGTTGCAGCTCTCTCTGACTAATATGATGTGATTACACTTGCTACTTGATGCAACAGAAATAGTTTTGGGATATTGTCAAGTTATTAATTAAGAAGCCACAACTAAGTCGTTTCACAGTTTAAAAAAGCAGACTTCAGCCAAAAGCAAGATTTTCAATAAAACCTTGCTGAAATAGAAATAATGCATTTTTCTCCAGGAGCTGAATAGAGCACACATTATGTCTGTATTGGCTGCAAACCCAAAGTATAAAGATATGAAAATTTTTTTAAATATTACTTTAATGGAAATCTCATTTATTGCAACATTCACCATCACTATTGCAATACTGCAGGCTTTTCCACTTGTGCAGAACTATTTGATGTGAGATCTTTCCAGACAGAATCTAAGAACAAGACATAATATTCAGGGTTACCTCCTCCCAGAAGATGGGATTTTGTTCATAACCACCCACAGACAGAGCATCACCTTGAAGGCGCAGGTACACGGATGCGTCATGGTCCCTGACATTTGGCATGTTCTGCAAGAAGTGAAAAGACAAGTTAAAGGATTCAGTAACTAGAGCTGAAATTAGTCTGAAGAACTCTCAGATGCAAGCCAAGGGCATCGGAAGTAAACAGTTTTCACTTATAATTCCCACTTTATTGTTTAGCCTTTTAAGTTATTCTGAGATTTCGTCATTAAAACACATTCTAGTAGGTAATACTGAAAATGTTTAAACTTAATAAAGGAAACTGTACCAATCAATATTCCATGCAGAAAATATACAGTGAAGCAAAAAATCTAATTTTCCTCCTTTATTTTCAAGTGACTTAAAGTCTGAACAGCAGTCCTTTTGCAGTGAACAGTTTTACCAAATGCAACCAAATATAAAAAAACTAGCTCAGAAAATGTGTAATATACCCAATATGAACAAAATAACACACTTGTAAAAGTATTAAAACTAACTCCTGATACTTGGTGCAGTTGTCTTGTTGCCTTGCTAGTTGCAAGCATTTCAACAGGATTTTGCACATCTAAGATTGTTCAAAGTGTGTTATATGACTTGCTATGATGCAAAACAAGATATTGTTTTTACAACTGGAAGCAGCTGATTCACATCTCAAAATCTCAAATAATACTTGAACTATGACCCCAAGCTCAAGAGGAGTTAAAAAAAGAGGCCTTATGGATGCAGAGCAGGACCAAAGAGCAGAGAGAGGAGGGGGAAAATAAAACTATCTCTAATGGGTAAGGATCAAATTCTCAACTCAAACTTTGCCCGATTTTGAATTTGGCTCTGATGTTTTAGGTTGAAATCAATCAATATGAACAAGTTCAGTTAGTTTTTGTGGGAGCTGATCTCAGAACCATTTCTTGCACAGGCTAAACATGTACAACACTGGAAACATATATCAAATCAACCTTCAAATTGGTTTACATTTTGACTCAAAGCTCCTGACATCACATTCTTAAACTGGACAGATGTATTGAACTCTCATGTGCCAGAGGATCTTTCTGCAAAATCGTTTTTCGCGTCAAAACCGTCTGGTCCGTATTCATTCTTCCCAGACTCCATCGACTTTTTGGGTACAAAACCAAAATACCAGCAAGCCAGCTGACATTTTAAAAGCTGCAAATAACGAAAGCCAAACTGCTCCTTTGTCCTCTCCCTCCTCCTCTGCACTCAGCTCAGTGTGGCAGCTCCATGTGATCAATACTGAACACTGTATCACTCACACAGATAAAAAATATACACAGACCTCCACAGCAGCCTCACAATGACAAATACAGACACACGGACAGCATGAAGCGCTTGACCTGACAAGTTGCACACACTGGGCACAGATTCCCTGACGACATCTGTTTAGTGGGTGAGCTGACGTCTGTGTGCATGATGGAGAGGTAATGCTTGTTAAGCTTCTCTTAAACTATATAACACAAGAAAGCGCTGACAGCCCACTCTAAAACCACCAGCCTCTCGGGGAAGAGGATATATGAACACAGACTGCATTAAACAAGCAGAAGCTGGACAGAAACTGCATTGACACATTGAAGCATTTTACATTCCATGTCTCATAGGTGCTATATAGCGTAAACAAGCATAGTCAAAGCAAGCACAAATAATAATAGATACAAATTAACCTCTTTTTTTTCTCTCCTCCAAACACATCAACAACAGCCTGGAAAATTAGGAGCAGTAATTTGCTTGGTCACAGTGACCCCTGCTGGTCATATTAACCTGATACATGGGAAAGCTTCCACACCAAGTGCCACATTGGCCCGGTGTTTTGTAACATCTAACATGTCTGGTGAACTAAAGGAAATAATAATTAATAGAAATCTTACCTGTATGCCCTCTATCCTCTCTGTCACCACATAAGCATGATGCATGGCAATAAGAGGAACATTGACTCCAGCCATTTCACCAAGCTTGGTGGCCCACACACCTGTAAGGAACAAGGTTTACCGAAATGCCACAATCTTTTGTAAATCTTTTGCCACAATCTTTTGCCACAAACTTTTGTGAGTATTTACAAAATGCCCCAATGTTGCTTTCTTTTACCTCATCCAAATATGTTGACATTTTTTAAGCAAGATAAAAACATGCTACGTTGTCAAAAGTATAGGTCAAGTTTCTCTGAGTCTTACCTGCACAGTTCACCACACACGGTGTTTCAATGGTTCCATGAGATGTCTCCACCGCCTTAACCTTCTTGACCCCAAGGTCGTCCGTTCGCACTTGGATTCCGGTCACTGGGCAGTTCTCGATCACCTGATTCAGACAGGAAAGTGTAGACATATGACATCCAGAACTATTTAAAGTTGGTCAGTCATTGTCTTCATTTAGTTTGTAGGATTTTTGAGAGTGGTGATTCATGAAGCCCTTTCTTCAGCTGCAGTCCAGATTTTGTGAATTTCCACCAAACTCTTGAATGGGCTTTGTTATACAATTCTATTAAGGAAGCAGAATCACATAATAAAACAAGAAGCATGTTTCTTGTGTGTCATTTTCATTTTGTCTTTCCACTCAACTTTCCATTAGTGTTCTTCAATCAAGAACTTTTGTAAGAAGTGTAGTAATCTTCTGCGGCTTTGTGAAAGGAACCAGCATCTGTCTGCTGAACAACTGAAAGTCAGCAGTGCTTGCATGATTTTGTAAATTGACATTTTTGTACAAAAAAAAAATCCCTTTTTTAAAAAAACAGCAAAACAGAGTCAGTAGATTAGCACAAATTACCTTGGCTCCCCTGGCTGTGGCAGCTCTGCTCAGGGTGGTACAGGTGCCTGCAGGGTCCATGGTGCCATCTTTGGGAACATACAGCGTTCCATACAGATCATCAATATTCATGAGGGGATAAAGGTCCTTAGTCTCCGCAGGTGACAGAACATAGGACTCGATGCCATAAACTTTACCCAGCTGAAACATAAATGGCGATTGACTTATTTTCTATGATTTTGAATTCACATTGAATGTGTTTTCCAACTACCAAGATAGTTTTCTGGTCAATAAAATCCAATGGAAAGCTTGGGAATGTTTCTGTATTTAAATTTGCCCATTACCAGTTTTGATGAAGTTATGTAATCATAAAAAATATATAAACAATCAGTCATAATAATAAAAAAATATGTCACACCCTGACAATTTTGGACATTTTTGTTTTGATCTCTATTAAATAGGTAACATGCTACAACATGTGGTGTGTGACTGGGTATATATTAGGTTATATTTAAACTCTTTTAGAAATTTAGTACAAAAACATAGATTGTGCCCTCTAAAATCAAAAATCATATATTCAAATAGTAAACCACTTATTGAGACAAATAGTTTTGGGCATTGGGCATTAAACGATTAAAAAGCTATTTCAAATTACTAAGAATCTCTAACGACCACATGAGATAAACTTGCTATTCTCATGTCTATCAGCATCTTTTATCTGAAGTTCTTGAGAAAGACATTTACTCACCCCTAGCTTCTAGTGAACTGTGCCCATTACGGTGAAAACCTTAAAGCCTGTCACTTCAATGTGCCTAAAAATTCTGTTTCTATAAGAAATCTATATGTACTGCTGTTGGGAAACAGTGTAGATGAAAATTTCTGTCTGAATGTTTGTAATACTTTATATTAATTAAACTTATTAAAAGGATCCAGCAATGCATGGCACTTTAAAATGACAGGAAATCAAGAACCAAGCAATCGCTGTCCTTACCGACATGAGGCGCTTGTATTCATCCAGTCTTTGCTTGTTGGAAGCAATAAAGAGTCCTCCATTCTGGATCCAGCCAGTGTGGAGACCCGTTTCCTCTTCCAGGTCTTTGCTGATCACGTTCCTAGTGTGGGCCAGGAGCTCCACCTCCACATCACTGGGACGGAGTTGCCACAGAAGGCCTGAGACAACAGTCTGATGTGAGTTGTGATTGAACATGGACAATTGTCTTCTAGACAAAACCCTAATCTAGCCTAACGAGGCAATGTAAATTCAGGCACAACCTAACCTAAGACTTTAGATCAACTTGTTTTGGTTAATTCTGTGGTAGTTACCGGCCGTATGCCAGGTGGTGCCAGCAGTCAGTCTGTCTCTCTCCAGCAGAACTACGTTGGTCATCCCCATTTTGGCCAGATGATAGACGGTCTGACAGCCGAGACTCCCTCCTCCAATCACCACCACATCAGCTGACCTGACAGAACAGGAAGCAACTTTTAAAGCTGGGTTGAAGCAATGCTAAATCTACAGTTTGAGTCTAAGAAAAATCAGCCTTGATATTTATTTGTATTAAGACAGAATATCCAGAGCTGAAGCAACCTTAATGAAAATCTGCTAGATATAAGCATGAAACAAACTTTTCAATTGCAACATTTACTGACTGAAACATCATCTTAACAAGTCAGACTCTGTCTGTCCATTCAGGCTAACCTTGGTAAAGGCTTAGTGGGTCCTGTGGAAGCTCCTTCCTCCTGTTTGAGTGTCTTTTCATAGGGGACACTCTTTTCACTGGTGTGTTCAGTGCTGTAAGACCGAGAGCTTGTCCGGCACAGTGGGGCTCCAGAGGGACGCACTGCTGATACGAGGCGCTGGACTGCACGCCCAACGAAGGCCATCTCCTCTGTGACTAGGTTGACAAATCCAATAAGACCATAAGACTTTACAAATAATTTTGGTTCTATCAATTCACCATGGGTTGGTTTCTGGTATGAAGGTAAAACAGTTTGTTATGTTGTTCCTATGATTTAAGTTCTCACTTTTAATAAGATACCAGAGAAAGTTTTCCCGTGCTGAATACAGTTGACTGCAGTCAGCTGGCTGAAAGATGGTTGTAAACACTATTCCCTCCCATTTGGCTTCTTGGAAAAATATTTGATTTAAAAAAAAACATACCCAAATGAAAATAGCATTGTCTGCGTGCATTATTAATTAGCTGATATTAGACTGTTAGTTTTGTGTTTCTTTATAGAGAGAAGACAGCAGAATAATGTAGCAACATAAAAATAAAAAATCAAAATTTAGCAAGTGTTTAAGAAAATAACAGTACATGTTAAAACATTATTAGAACAAATAATATACAATGTTATGTTATATTCTAATGCTGTCATTTGATTCTCATGCTGGTCTATGCTGACTGGAAAATATTGAGAAAGGTCTTCCTACAGTTAGATCTAGTTTTATATATGCCTCAATTTAATATTTTTCTCATCTTAAATCATGTTATTATAAAAAGTTTAAAAACACGTGTGATTGGAAAATATTGTGGACTAACTTACATATAGCATTTTGTTTGGTTAAAAAAAAAAAACATTGAGGAAAGACCAACTTATCAGGTGTGTTACAACACCCCAATACATGTCAGCAAATATCTTACACTGACAGCCTGAAGCTGCTGTGTGAGCTGAATTCCTGTATAGAGAGATTGAAACTTAAAAGTGTGGTCAAATTATCACAGCCAAATGACTAAAAAAGTAACACACTAACACACGGTGATTATCATACAACATAAACATGAGGTGGCAGACATTGGCAGAGTTCAGATGAATGCAGGGCCAGGTGCCTGGAACTGGGCTGCTCCAGTGTAACACCCAGCCAACCATCATTCAGGGCACAGCAAGCTGAGAAGTATATTTTTTTACTTTACACGTCAATATGTAAGCAAGCGATCAAAGCACGAAACAACACAGGTGAAGAAGGCTGTGGAACGGGAACGGCGTGTTACTAAACGGCAGTAATTGGAGAAACGTGGCAAACGGGCCACGGAGTCCAAACGAGATACACTGCGCTCTCAACTTTTTTGCTGCAGTCTGGGTTTCAACGTGGAAAACTTACAGTCGAGACCGAGGCACAACAGAAGCAGTCGATGCGAGGAGGAAAAAACTCGAGAAAAAGAATGTGCAAAAAAAAAAAAAAAAAAAAGGAGGGAGGGAGGTGGTGGGTAAAAATGGCCGAATAGTTCCCAAAAAAAAGAGAAAAAAAAAAGCAAGCGATACAGAGGTGGTGCAGCGTGGGTTGGAGAGCACCGCTGTCAGACAGCACGATCTGCAGCGGGTCAGCAGCTCGAAGTCCCTCCTTCTTCCTTTCGCCCTCTTAGATGAGATCAGGCCACTGTGCTGAACTGACTTCAGCTGTTCTGTAGGGAGAGAACTGGGCTGGATGCATGCGAACTGCATAGACTTTAACATCATTGACTCATTTCATCGAGTGAAATGTATGCAATTCATACATTGCATACATAAAAAAATTGAAATTAGTATTTCATCTTGGAAATTCTAATTTTGTCACCTATAGAAACATGAAAATATTTCTATAGGAAAGATAAAAAAAAGCAGTCATAAACTTTTATTGCCACTTTTTAAAACCCTACTAATGGTTTTGTTACTGCTTCAGTGGACATTCATTTCCAGCTGTTTGGTTTCTGCGTTTTATGTGACACACTAACACAATAGTGCATAAATTTAAAACAGGATGGAAAAGGTTTGGTTTTGGTATTAAGCCCCTTTTACTCTGATACCCCAGAAAATCTGCCGCAACCATTTGCCCTCAGAAGTCTGGTTATTTATAAGGGTGCACACATCTGTAATTTAATCTTGTTATAAATGCAGCTGTTCTTTGTGGCCCCAGAGGTTCATCAGATAACATCTGAGAACAAACAGAACACAAGGAACACAGCAGACAGCTCAGGAATAGATTTGTGGTGACGTTTTTAGCAGGTTTATCTTATAAAACAACATTCACAGATGTCAACATCTTACAGAGCAAATCATCAAATTAGAGAATGGTAGATCTCTGAAAACCAAGCTGTCCTCTTGAACTTTGACACAGTATGTGCTAAAGGCCATTCAGACTATACAAATATTTAAAACACAAAAGTGTCCTCTAGCTTTCCATCTTGTTTAATTTCTGTATAAGTGTTTTAGTTAGATGTGGGGGAGAGCAGCTGTTTATCAAATCCCTTCAGGCACAAAGACCTAATGAAGCAGAAGTAGACTACAGTAAACCCCCATCACACACAAAGACACAAAGTTATCGTCTTAGTCGCCGGTATACATTCACTCTACAATCCCTGTTTCGAAATAGAAAACGTCTGTAGATACTGATCTCTTTATTACTTCTCTCATTTTCTGTCCATTTCTGACATTAAAGTACAATCACTGTTAATGTTCAACCCAAATGATTAAATGATAACAAATATGGGTTTTTCTTCAGTTTACGGTCTTAATCACAGAAATCTAACCTCCTTGAGTGAAATTGAGGAGAACTCGAGGTTAATTAGTAAAGCTATGTTTCCATCACAGGTAAAACAGATGAAGCCGTGCATATGAAATGACTGGACTGACAGTTTTTTTTTCTATTAAGCACTTAAAACAAATTCTGCATGTTTTTTTTATGCGTATGAACACTGAAAATTATTTAGGAAGACAAGAAATGGTGGTTATTTTAGTATGTTCACGTTATGAAACCTGACTCCCTGTTGCTGCGTTCTGCCTGTTTTGGCCTGCTGAGTGCACACCTCCTCACCAGCAGCCAATACGATGCTGAGTTTAGATTCCCTCCTGTGACGGGAGGTTCTGTCTGGTTTGTACAGCTTTGAACAAGACAGAAGCTGAGTGTAGAAACTACTGCTGCCTGTAACCTTATTTTCTCGATAGGCGTGTGAGCTCCGCTTTAAATCCTAATCTAAGGAAGGCAGGAAGCTTCAGCAACATTTGGGTTCCTCATGAATGATATTTTTCTTTTTAAACACAGGCTACAGATAGATAAGCTTGTGTACTATGGCCATGTAAACAAGTCCAGGAGTAAAGTTTGAACACTGTGAACCACTGTTCAGGTTGGCTTCTTTCATTCTGATTTGAGATAAATCAAGTCACAAGAACCAGAAAGCTTAACGTGTGTAGAGATCTGATCAGATTATGTGTTTACTAAGACTCTATTAAATCTTTAGGGCCGAATTAAACCTAAGAAAACAGAGGGTTTTTTTTTTCTTTTTAAGTAAAATAGTTGATTTTCATGTTAACATGATGTCACTTAAAAAAAATCAGTGATTTAAATATAAGTTTTACTTAAAAGTGCTGAAAATGGCAAAGTCAGTCAGCTGACTTCCACCTAAGCAAATTTTCATGGCAACATACAAAGGACTCCCTCAATCTTTGGCGTTTCAAAATGGCTTGTGAAGAAGAATGGGTCAAAATTCCAGCTGAGCATTGCATGTGATATTCAGGAGACATTATGAAGCTTTCTCTATTAAAAAGGGTTTTCCACAAAGTATTTAATGCACTTCTGTACGCGTGTCCAAGACTAATTGGCTTTGTTTTCTTTGTATGTGTGGATTACTTGAATTGTTGCTGTTGTCTGTTGTGAATTTTATTTTTGTGGACCCCTTGAAATTATTTACAGTGAGACATACCTATTAACACTTGTTTTACCACAGTGCATGTAAACATAAGTAGTTCTAGAAACTGAAGACATTTCTAGTATTTTGTTAATCAACTGGAGCAGCAAAGTTGAGGAAATTATGATGCATATAGGACTTTTTTTACCTCATAAAATCATCACTATAAAATACATTATTTTATTATTTATGACTTGATTGAAAAAAAAATACTCTTTTCAAACGCATGCATTTTCTTCAAAAAAAAAAAAAAAGAAGCCTCAGACAGACTGTAGTCGCAATAATTTAAGAAACACAAACCAAGTACTTTCTCATGAACTCCACCCACTGCTACGACCATCTGATACTTGAGAAATGATGCCCTCTTGTGGTAAACCCTGGCCTGTACAGCATGGGAAGCTGAATGAAAACGTCATGAACTACATTATTTTTTAAGTCTACTTTTATAATTTTTTTTATTTGACTGGATTTGTCACTTTAAAATGACAAATGTTCCATACACCCCATATTAAAACACAAATAAGAAAAAAAAAAACAACCAGAATAAGTCTTGATTCATCAGTAAGACACATCATCAACGACTCAATAAATTAAACTAATAATTTCTGCTAATTATTGATTAGCAGAAATAACTGAAACAAAAAATAGGTCACTACACATGTTTATGTAAATGTCAAACCTCATTTATGTAATTCAAATGGCTCATAACTGCTAATGTAAATGTTTTATGTAGTTCCTAAACCCATATCAAGTCTGTTTAACATAAAAAAATAAACACTTCTAACCTCAGCAGACATCTGTTTCCTGTCAATTAAAAAAAAAAAAATTTTGAAAATCTTGACTGCCTCACATTATTCTGATGTTTTATTTAGTCTAAAATAATAATCACTATAAGTCCAGATCATTATAAAATTGAACAAATTTTAAGAATAAAATACATATTTTTTGAAAAATATTTAAAAATATGGTAACCCATGATTTGTTCAGTTTAAATTGCCAATTTCACTCTGTAAATAACAAAACAACAGGGAGATAAATCTATTCAATACTTTACTTTTTTAAGAAACAATGCCTAAAAACTCTCTGTCGCATTCAGTATGTGTGAGTAAAAACACAATATTTGATGAATACAATCTTGAATCACTCATAAGAGTTCTGAACCATCACATGTCGAAGCTTTGACACTGTTACTGCTGTAGAAACTTTTACCATGTAGAGCTTGGTAGTAGGTGAAGTTCTGTCTGTCAACAGTTTTACTGGAACTAAAAAAAATACCAAAAAAATTACAATACACATTGTTCAGACTAAAAAGGAAATGGCGTCCTTCTACTTTTTGACAGACTTAGGGACAAACGTTCTGACATCCGTTTCTGGGTATACAATCACCACAGGCACACATCAAACAGAATTTCTCTCACACCCACCAAAGAAGAAGTAACAATAAAAACTTTAAAAACTCTGAATTGATTGAGGAAATTTGTTGTGCAAGTTTCTGCATAACATTTAAAGCATGCTGCTGCAGAGTGAGTCAATAAATAACCCCAAAGATCATCCCTGGAGTACCACACACCGTCTACAACAATAAAAATGTCCAGCTCTTAGGACAATGAGAATGTCTGCCTCGTCAAAGCGACTGAAATTAAGTCTGACATCATGTTGTCCCCTCAGCGTCCGTCTTTCTGACCTCCCAGTGTCCCGGCATTAAAGTTCGTCCCTGTAGGAGGCCGACAGCATCTCAGGCGGTGGCGCAGCCCCCTTCAGAGTTTTATGGGAGCCCCTCCAATCAGTCCTTACTGAGTCATCATCCCACAGTGTGGAGGTCTCTGTGTCACTCACCCACTGAGGATCGCCGGCGTAGTGACATGGCTGTACCAGAAGGGGGCGTGTGCTGAAGGCTTGAAGGTTTCTGTTGGGGAAATGGGACTTGTAGTCCTCACTGTAAATAGAAAAGGAAGCATAAATATTTAGACAGTTTTTTTGTGTGTGATTTCAGTCATTTATTTTTTACCACAAATATTTACTCTCATATTAATCAAAAAAAAGAAAAAAAAAGAGAAAGTGAAAATAAAAGATGTTGTGATTCACTCTGATTTTAAATGTCGTTTAGTCACACTGAAGGTCGGACAGAAGGACCAAACGTGGGGTGCAGACGCTGTGTAATCTTAGCAGGGCAGTCAAGCATATCAAATGAGCCTCTCAGAGGTTAGAGACGGAGAACAGAGAAAGTGGGCTGGCTGTTTGCCAGCTTTCCACACAGTATGGAGTGCATGCATGCTTCCCAGCTCCCATCTGGTTTACACACTCTGCAGCATGAAACATGTTATTTCTGCAGTCTGATGATGTAGGGCTTTTTTTTCAGTGCAGGTGTGGGTTTATCTGGAGCTCTGAGTTTTGTAATGGTAGCAATAAGAAAAGCTAACGTGCTAATGTAAAAATAAGATTGATATTGGGGTGCAGCCAACAAACATGGACAACGTAAAAAGAAAAATGTCCTTTAAGTCTAAAGTTAAACATTACTGCAATTATTTTTAAACTAAAGCCCACTGACGGATAGCCACAGTCTTTGCTCTGGCTCTCTAATCTGGAAGGTCCACACCAAATAAAGCTAAATATGAAACTCAGGCATGTAAATTAAAGAATGTGTTGGGCAATTATGA